GGCAAATAATTATGTCAGTTCGATTGAATGATTAATGTAGGTTGAAAAATGGACGAAAGTTTTTCGCCGCCTCGGGAACAGAACCCGCGTCTTCCGCAATCGCAGCCAGACGCTGTAGCTTAGTGGTTAAGCCGTACCAATTTCAGTGTTTCGTCTTAAGTGCAAAGATTATCACTATAATAATTTAATATAGAAAATTTCAATCGATTGAAAGAGATTGAGAAAAGTAATCAATACAATCACATAAAAATTAAAAAAAAAATACCTTCTAATTTAGACCAATGGGCGGTTAATTTGCAAATATCGCCCAAACGGTGAACGTCATAGCGGATGTTATTTCATTCATTGGCATTCTTTTTAAATACCCAGTCAAACAAACATTTCGCAACTGGAGCAGATGCAGAGAATGCTCGATTGTTCGAGATTATCAGTTCGATGAGATCATTGTTCGCGCCCCGAGGATGGCTCGCATTCCTGTTGCATCAGCGAGGCGAATTATCAGAAGAGCAGCTTCAATACTGTTCGACGTTGTGAAATGCCAGCCATACGTGGCAAAGTTAGCAAGCGCAAATGTTTGTTTATTGCGTTTATAAATAGGTTAATAATACAGATTATATGTGACATTTTATGTGAGGTTGGAGATTAGCACTTTAGAATTAGTAGTAGAGGTAAGTAGATGTTTTTTTTTACGTGGGAAAAATCCTATATGGATCCCTTGCCGCCTCGTGAGTAGGCAGCAGGGGTATGTAGGAGTTTCCGAGTGACACGGGAGTACCCACTAAAAACTCACGTTGCACCTGCGCTGTCACTTTTGCCGGCGACACGGGAACTCGACAACACAAACTTTCGTGAACCCCGGCGTGACTGTGGCCTTCGGACTGCTGCCGTGTCGTTGCAAACTTCATGATTACCTCAACCCATAAAAATGTTTAACCTCTGTGGAGTTACAGATCGCTAACAATTATAAGAGGGGGGGCCAGTTACGCCGAAGTGTTATACTTACACTTCGAGCTGTCTTTTCCTATTTGCATCCAATACGAAACGTGGAGAATTAATTTACTTTGATAATTAGCGAATAGTTGATAACTGTTCAACTCGATTGTGTAAAAAACGAAAGATCGTTAATTTAATTTTTTTCTTCGCTTCATAATATACATTATTATATAATATATATACAATATACGTATATATAATATATATACAATATACGTTATTACGACTATTTTTAAGATTTTTTTCCTATACTACAAAATTATTTATTTCAAAGACGTGAAACATGCGATAACAGTGTGAATTTAGTTATTAATGTTTTTAATTTATTTTAATTTAGAGAATTTAACAAATTTTTTATTAGCACAGTTTCAATTTATGTTTTCGTATTTACGTAAGCCGAAAATATGTTATTTTTATTACGCACCAACTAACAGCTTAGGAATCTATTTATGCTCATATTTACTAGTTAATTGGTAACTCATTGGCTTCGACGCCCGGGGCCGTAGGTTATTAGTGTAATCCAAAGATAATTTTACTGGATCTAGATGTTTGTTTCAAGTTTCAAAGAGAATGTTCTGAAAAAAAGGGAAATTCTAAAAGAAGATAATATATTAACAACAAGATTTCACATGTTCTGGCGATTCCACGTAGGTAAGATGTGGGCAGGCGAAAGAAGAAGAAGTTTAGTAGTTGTAATGTGCGAAATCTAAGTTTATCTCGTTATAATCGTATCTAGTCATGAAATAATTACTTTTCAGTTGACAAATCTTGAAGTTTGTGTTCAAATCAAAATACGTAAAATGTAACAAAAAAATTATTTTTCAGAGTTTTTAAATCTTGTTTTGTTGCACTCCCTATAACTAAAAATCAGTTTCTTCAAGGTCCTTTAAAAAGGTTGACGAAAGCGTTTGTTTTTGCTATTTACGTTAAAAGGATTTTTTTGCAGAGACGATAATTGAGCTAGCAACGACCTTGATGTTATGCCGTAAATTACTCAGAATATCTACAACATCAGACATCATTATCATACCATTAATGTCATACGAAATAGTTATACCTATGTAACCAGTGTATCTGCGATAGCTATTTTGTGACATACTACTACTTGTACATTTATAATAATGCCTTTATTAAATTGGTCAATTTCATTATTTATATTAATATTAATGATTTCTTGTGTTTACGCTAATAAAATAAATTATTTGATTTGAGTTTTTTCGCGTTTCATAATTTGAACACTTTACAGAGTCTGTTGTCACGTGACAGGAAGATGTATTGCGTTCTAATGTTAATTTGAGCCACTATGAACTTTTGTACATAATTTTGTCCATTCTTCACAGTAGGAATTTATCTTAAAATCTTAGTGGATTTACTTTTATAAAAATTTCGTCGGGTCAGAAGTAAACTTACCAATCTGCAAATGTCAAATTGTGGAGGAGGTGGGTTTTAATATAAAAAAAGTACCTATGTTGCAAATCAGGGTTTTAATGGAATCTATTAAAGTTATTGAAATTGTAACTCTTAGATTAATCTCTTATAGAACATATTGGTGAATGTACTATGGTATTGAAAGTGTTAAATAAATGAAACTGTACGGAAGTTGCTCATGTGGTAGGTTGGTAAGTATTCTATTGTACTACAAACTTCATCACTCGTTTATTTATTGCAAGCTAGCTAAACTAAAAATTATTAATATTTATTATTAATCATTGTGGCATTCCATTGTTTGAGTTTCTTTTTGAGGCAAGGTAAAGATTCAATTTGCCACTTAGACTAGTCGATCATGTGGCTTTTTGCGATATAAATTATTTTCTGAACCAAGGTAAAGTATTGAGATGTGGATTTTGTGAGTTTATTAATAATCTACACTACAGTTAATTCAATCTGCCACTTTGACTAGTTGAACGTTACGATAAATCACATTGGTTAGTTCATCACATGCTAAAAGAATATATGAAATATCTTCAGTGTTTATAAAGACACAGATAAAATATCTTACCAAAAAGTGTACCGCAAGGAAGTATAAAAATCAGTACATTTTTGTCAAAAATACCAAAATGTTAGTTTGGCGAGTTTACTGTTGTAAAATTTGTAAAAACAAAAAATTGGTAAAGGTCATGCTAGGAAACGGTTGATGTTTCTTTGCGAGGATTTCTGGTTTTCAAATCTTATATTACCTTTGGGGCGGACTTTTGTGTGATAATAAACTGCAGACTTTTCGGCGTTGCTTCAAATCAACTAGTTGTTTTTAAAGCTCTTTTTATTCGGTCGCTAGCGAATAAAATTCACAATCCATCGCTCATAGATCTTTTGGAAGTACAAAATTATTTTTTCAAGACAGATAGTGAGAACTAACGAATAATCTTCGGTGTCTTGAATAACGTTATCATTCATGATGCGAGACGTAGCCAATCTTGTTTTTTTTATTTAAGAAGATGGCGAATTTGTTGAAATGCAGGACTTGGACATTCTGTAGCTTAGCAGCCAGGTCCTCGTTGTCGCGCATCCCATGTGCTCTTTGAAACAAAAAGTTTACTTGTGGTAGCTAATTATAAAGAGTGATGGTGACTTGAGAATTACTATTTAATATTTTTTTGTGTGCGTCACTTTTCTATACAGTAGGGCAGCTTCTGCTGTTGTGCGAATGTCCGGGAAAGTACTAAGTTTTGCGTGAAGTAGCGGTATTATACTTCCGCATTTCGTCATATAATTTATCTTGTGTATCACTTTATTCTTATAGTGAAATTCATTTCTTAATTTGAAGTTCCGATTCTCAGGCTGGCTATGTTTTTTACTGACGTCATCCTCCTTGGGAATCAAACACTTACATTATCTGTGGGTCACACAAATTACTTGTCCCGTGTGGGGATCGAATCCGCGATCACTGATGCCAAAGCTAATAGTTTAGAAACGGCGCATCTGGTTTAATCCTTACTGTTATTCTTAAAGTCACTGTATTTTTGTTTTCATATACTTTATAGTTGCAAAAAATTCTTTCCGACTTTTAGGCAGGTTTGCCTGTTTTCTGATTGCACTAGTAGACATCTTTCGATTTCCTTATTTTTAAGCCTTATTTACTTAAATATTTAAAAATTCTGACGCAGACCTGCCGGCTGCATAGTATAAAATAAATTAAAACTTGGTAATTTTGTTTCTAAATACATTTACCATTTTATTGATTTCAATATGAACATCTCTGCCAATATGTAAAATTTGTGGAAAAATATAATTTTAATTTCACCGCTAATACAAGGAATCGATTAGAAAATTACAATATTTACCCTACTATATTATATTTCAAAAATTACTAGCGACCCGCCCCGGCTTCGCACGGGTTCAATATAGTTATTGAATTTCTCGGCTTTTCTCTGCTCTAATATACATACAAACCTTCCGCTTGAATCACTCTATCTATTGCTGAAAACTGCATTAAATTACTGTAGTAAAAAAAACCGCATCCAGATCCGTTGCGTGGTTTTAAAGATCTAAGCATATATAGAGACAGACAGACAGCAGTACAATTTTGTTTTATACTATGTACTGATATTTATGTAAAAATGTTTCAAAACGGCGACGTCATTAATGATTGTTGTTGTTTATGACATTTTGCATTTAATGATGCGTACTTGTCAAGAAGAAATATGTGTTTGTGTTTTATATTCTTTAAGTATCCTGTATCACTGTATCCTTCAAAATAGAAAAGCTTGAGTTATCTGAAAATGTTTGCATGAAATGAATATTTTACTCAAAGTACATAATACACGAGGGCTACAATTATTTATAAGAAAAAAAAATTGTGGCTTTGAAGATATTTCACAAAATACGTAGCGTACCAATCGCTTTGAATGGGTTTGCTCTTGAAATAGCATCTGTATACATATAGATAATGCAACTGTACGTATAAGTGTAAACGCTAAGCATCGCTCCGATATGAGCGAGCCGTTGCTCACATAACTAATCCACGACTAAGCCGGAGAGCAGCGTCGTTCGGTGCAATTTTGAAAACAATGTACGAAGTGAAAGATAAGGTTTTCTTGGTGACTGGCGCGGCTAGCGGAATCGGCGCCGTAGTAGTGAGATCGCTTTTGGAAAATGGAGCAAAGGTACACGCGTTTTTCTCATTTTACATTAGACAAATTACTTTGTAAAATATGACATTGCAACTTGTTTTTGGTGCCCGTGTACGTATACAATTTATTTATGGCCGTTTATAAGTAAACTAAATACATAGCTGTCGTTGATAAGATACGATTGTGTACTATTATTATGTTTGTGAAGGTTTTCATTTTCCATTCTATAACTTATATATTTTCACATAACATTTATCAGTGTTAAAAGTATTTGCTGGGGAGTTGTTAATTTAAAGATAGTTAATCCAATTTCTTTTGAATAAATTAATGTATATTGTGCAGCGCAGGACGGCCTCCCACAAGGTGGACGGACGGTCATAGATCGTAGGACGCGTTGGATGCAAGCTGCTACCGGCCTATGTTCAGCAGTATTCGTCCTGCGGCTGATATGATGATGACGATGATATTGTGCAGATCCTAAGCTGGTAAAGACTGTAAAATATACATAGTACAAATGATACAATATTTTATTTAATTCGTTTCAGCATATAGCAGCGTTAGATATTGATGAGCCTCAAGGGACGGCTTTGGAAAAGGAATTGAGTAAAAAACATGGACAAAATAGAATAAGATTCATTGAATGCGACATCACGGTTCAGCTACATAATGCCGTGGACACCGCAATACAAGAATTTGGATATATAGATGTTGTTATAAATAACGCAGGAATTATGAGTGACAGTCCGGATGTGTATCTTAAAGAAATAGCCGTCAATGTGGTAAAATATTACTTATTTAACATTTTATATTGAATTTCACACGTAATGATTTGGAAGAATTATTAACAATAATGACACAACGTACAATGGTAAAAACACACATTAATACCATATTTGCAGAAACCTCCGGATGTCGATGTTATTTAAGTAGGAGACTGTTCTAAAATTAGAACATCCATTCGAATGCTAATTTGTTAACTAACTCTTTGTCATGTTAACTTGCAGACCGCTTTGATAACGAGTTCCCTCAAGGCATACGAATGGATGCGACAAGATCGTGGTGGAAAAGGTGGTACGATAATAAACATTTCCTCGATTGTCGGACTGATGCAGTCACCGCTATTACCGATTTATAGCGCAACAAAGAGCGCCGTCCTACAATTCAGCAATTGCCTTGGCGTAAGCAAATTACACCTTTATAAGCCTATGAAAATACACTTTCAGTTGCCCAAGATTATTCATTCCTCGCTCTCGCGCTAACTGTATTTTAAGGAATGTTTTTTTATCTATTAGGTCTATAATAAGTTAGTTAATGATGAATAAATACACTTTTATTGTCCACCACAAATAAGAGTATACATAAAAGTAACAATAAAACAACAAATTTATGCAATGTACAATTTGGCGGCGTTATCGCTTCATAACGTTGATTGTTGATGATTAACGTTTCTTAATTGCAATAAAGTTGTTGCAATTGACAACTTATCATATATGCTAATGAAATGCGAATCGGACGAATGTCTAACAATAAAACGTGGGTATACTTATGTAAGCCCGGAAGAAGTTATACTTCTTTAGCGTAACAAAAGAAAAATAACTAAAAATTTTATTCCCTGTGCTAGTTCTCATTTTATGAAATAGACATTAAATGCTATTGATATCGGTTTAATTAAATTTCTTGGAATTATAGGTATATGTCATGAAGTTGTTATTGGTTGCCACGGTGATACCGGTCGCTTTGCAACCAACTTCATCATGTCGCTTTTTGGGGGTCGGTGTGCACGCGCATCGAAAAATTTTACCCTCATAATTTTTTTGCAAACGCTCCAAAAGAAGTATAACTTCAAAAAATTTTCCATTCATCTTAATCATAAAATTAAAGTTACGTGGATCTACATGAATACGGCGTAACTGATGTCTCATTACGTTTAATCAAGTGCAAAGTATCGGGTAGTTTGTTTATCGCCATATAAAAACCTGGTCAAGGTGAAACTACTTACTTTGCCATGCCCTTTGCCTGGGTCAAAATGATATGACAGATAAAACAACGTTCTTTCAATGTCATGTAAGTATTATTCATTTAGACTTATTTATTCATAGAAACAACTTCAAATATCGTTTTGCAACGATAATCCGAAAGAGAAATGTCGTCATTGCTATATTAAAGTATAGCAGAGATAGTTTAAAAAAAATTATGGTAATCTCTGCTACATGAAATAAAAATTAGTAGAAAAATCGAAATTATTGGGTTCGATTCCCGGAGAAAAACTTATCGTCCTTGATTGTAAAATTTTAATGCACCATCTTACGTTCAGAGATTAGCACTATAAAAATTTAAATTTTCACCGTGTCAAAATGTATTAAGAATTGATGCCAAAGTTTGTTACAGATGGAGCCGAACTATGCACTGTCTGGAGTTCGCGTATTAACAATTTGCTTCGGCTGTACTGAGACGCCCTTGTTAGATGATCAAAAGTTGGGTGGATTCACTAAGGAAATCAAAGAGAAAATACAAATTGGTATCAAAAAGCTGCCTCAGCAAAGGTACAGTCTGAGAGATAATTATGCATACCGTTTTACCTTTATCGTCAATTTATTTTGAATTCTAAAATTAGTGCGGAACGTGAACAGAATTAGTCTCGTTATTCCTTATTAGAGTAAGGAAGGGATGAAAGGCTATTTAGTTTCTTATTGAAAAGGAAAAAGTGACATAAATGTAGTTTAATATTGTACTGACAATAAAATAATCTGAATTACTCAAAAAGCCAGTGTTTAAGTTACCTTCAAAATTCCTTCAATAACGCTTTTTTAGTTACTGTGTTATCTCGAAGATGTATTAAAACTAACTCCTCTCTTTTTGACCTACCTTTTCTTACCTCTGCGAAGGCCTCCTCTGTAAAGAGATCATTACGGCGTAGTCCACCACGCGACCCCACTGCAGATTGGCGGATATAAATATTGAAATAATTTTTAATAATTATTATTGCGAAAATATATACGCACGTCGTAAGTCAGCATTTATAATGTCTATGAACAGTTTCATTGATGCAGGCACCGGCATTTGAACTCAGATTGCTCGTGTATATTAAATTTAAACAAGCGACTGGGCACTAATCATGGCTCTGTAGTGAATTGATACATTGAACATAATTAATTTTATTATACAAGTATAAAATTCGATACTTTCTATCCGTTTAAGAATACGATTACGCTTCTCTTTACGCCTGTGCTAGACTAAATATCTACGGAACAAAGAAATTATTTTTATCAAAGGAATGTATAAAATATTTTCATCACACTATCAATTCCCATTATCAAGTTGATAACACTAAAACGCTTGTACAACAAGATTTAGATTTAATAATCAAAATTCTCATAAATGGCAGACAAAACCTGTTCTGATCATAATTTTTTTTGCTTATCATATATAAAATAATAATTGTTTTCTTGATTTTACGCGAATAATATACATCCTTACTTCCTTACTAATATTATTAAGGCGAAATTTTGTGTGTATGGATGGATGTTTGTTACTCTTTCACGCAAAAAGTACTGAATGGATTTTAATGAAACTTTACAATAATATAGCTTATATATCAGAATAAGACATAGGCTATAATTTATTTACATATTATATATATATATATATATATATATATATATATATATATATATATATATATATATATATATATATCTGTCTTTCTGTCCGAATGTTACGCCTTCATCCTATTCTACGCAGGCATAGTCACGGGCAACAGCTAGTATTACATGAAACTAGTTTACGAATTTTATCGTGTTTTTATTTTGATTTGAAATTGCCGACGTTTCGAACCCTCTCTAGCGTTCATGGTCACGGGACAGATTGACAGTAAACTAGTTTCATTTAATATAACATAATGAATAAACGGAATATAATGTGTGTAATCTTTTTTCACAGTGCGCAATCGGCCGCGGATGGCTTGCTTGCGGCATATAGAAACGGCGGCAGCGGAAGCACTTGGCTGGTGACCTCTAACAGACAGGCGGAGGAAATCACGCAAAACGTAAAAGACGCTTACAAAATTCTCAGTCAAGGAGTGCTCGATTAAACGAAAATCGCGAACAGATTACGTAATAAGGAGATCACCAAAGATTCTTTAATCGTGTGCATATCATTTAATTGTACCAACGCTCTGGAACTGGCCGTGGTATCGGCACGTGTTTCATTGTTCACATCCGATGAGGAGAAAGAACGTTTGATAAACATTATAATTGTTTATACGGTTGGGATTTAAAAAAAAATGAGAATAAACACTGGCTGTTCATTAAAAGAATATGATTACTGATCAGATAATTTACTTTATTTGTGTATCTTTAATTGAAACAATAAATTATAAATGGCGAATTCACCGCAAATTATTAGCATCCCTAAAAGTCAACCGAAAAAACGCATAGATATTTTCATGGTAGTTCATTTGATTATGCCTTGACAAGGAATGAAAAATGAATACTTTACTACATACATATTTGGAATGTGGTTAGGTACAATGGTTAGGAACGAATACAATTTTTGAAATCTGATTCTTATCGACCCTGAATTAATGATTCAAAAAGCAATACTATGCATAGTTACACATTTGATTGCGGTAATAAATTAAACGCTAAATCCGTTTCCACATCCATTTCTTATTTCCACTGTGAAATAAATCGAAAGCGGAAACAATATATAAAACATGCATTTACGCATAACTGTTTTGTTAATGTTAATCCTTTGTTTCCCCCATAAAGACGTAAATTATGTATTATGTAAAAGAGTGTTTTAAATAAATAATGAAGAATCTGCGATAAAATGAGCCTCTTTTTTGAAAAAAGGCGTTATACAAAAGGTGGCAATGAGACAAGCGAACGACCCCTTATTGAACGAGTAACCAAAGTAGAAACAGGTGATTAAATGTTATTTTAATAACAAAAGCATTAAATTAGAATCTATCAATTTTGTCTACACATTTTAAACAAAATAAAAATTCTTGGTGCCATTTACTGTGCACACTTTACAGCATAAATCACCTTAGAAATCACATTTACGCCTTTTGCTATTAAAATATATGATTAATTTTACTTGACATAGACTTGATGGCGCACCCGTAAAACGATTTACAATGAATGGTCACTGATCTAGCTGAACCTTTATTGAGTAAAGTTCGTCAAGCCTTAACGTCATAAATCCAGTTAAGTAAACCATAGTCATCAACATAGCTCTCAGGGCAATAAATGGCGTTGGACCTGTCACATTGCTCCTGGACCCGGCAGCCGATGGAGAAAAAGAGTTCTTAAGTGGGGATCACATTTAGGCAAACGTAGCGTGGGACGCTCGTAGGCCAGGTGGGTGGACTGACAACTTGAGTATGATTACTGTTACTGTTAATGTGTATTTTTTATTTTGTCGGTCATTTTTAATAAATATAACGTTCTTGTGAATCCTTTGAAATTCACTTCACGGTCGTGTTCAGAGATGAAATACAGCTAAAACATTTGGAAAGTATCTTGGTTAAAGTCCGCACGCTTACGGAGCGTATTGTGTTTATTACTTGTGATTGCGTCATCGTGTACTCTCAGGTTACATAGTGGTATTGCTCTAAGCGAATAGTAATGTAAAACATATTAACACTTTCGATGCCTTGTTCAACGTGGATTGTATTGGTATTTGTCGGTGTGGCGTGTGGTAGGTCCATTTGGTAAACATAAAAAAAACAACGGACATGTTTATCAAAAAATGTGTCTTAATACTTTATTCATACTTATTAATATAGCATTTTCTGTAAAACTGTCTTTCCAGGAACGACGGTTGTATCTAGTGCTGTTATCATTTCAGCAAGATTTAAAATAAATAGATATTTGGCTGCAGTCAAATATCGGGCAGAAAATTTTACAAGTATGATTTTCCAACAACAGAAACTCAATAGTGCCCTTCTGCCGAGGTTCAGGCAAGGCGCCTCGTGCGCCAGGCCACCTCAAGTCCGTCCATCTGTAAAGGCCCCTAAGGCCAACAGTGGCTCATCCAGCCCAAAAAAAAAGTGCCCTTCACTGGTATTCAAACTAGTGACCCGGATTACGAGTCAATGACCCAACAGCTAGACCGCCTCCGCTTTCGTTTGGTGTCACTGTAAATATGTTTTCTTTTATTTATTCATTTTTTAAAACATTTCCCTTACTTTAGGATAATATTATCCTCTTTGTAAGGACGTTTTACACACATAAATTTCACGTTTCGAACCCACGACCCCCGACGCCGAAGGCAATACCTTGGTAACTACGCCACGGAGTCATCAATATGTAGTAGTATAGCCATAAGGGTGGGAAAACAAAAATTAGCAACTCTGCCCTAATTTGAATATGTAATTTTTAACTACTACTTATATAATTATGTTTTGATTGGAGTGGAAACTCGACTATAACCATCGACTGAAAGTCCTACGTTATTTATAAAAAGCGATTCTAAATCATCATTTCCAAAGTAAAGCAGATCTCATTTATTGAAAAAGATTAATTTATTAAGGTTACAACAAAAAATTCGATTTCGCAAGGTGATTGAGTATCACTTACCTAATCATATTAGTGGAAGAGTTCCAATTATCTGTAAAAATTAAAAAAAGACCTTGACAAAATTAAGCGATCAGGCGATTTAACTGATCTGGTGATAACCGGATAATATTGATTGATATTTGACGATTTATATACCAGTGAAGCGCTCTATTCAATTTCTGTTGTTGGAAAATCATACTTGTATGCCCAACATCTGATTGCGGCCACAGATCTATTATTTTAAAGCTGGCTGAAATGAGAGCTGTACTAGATACAAATGTCAATCCTGGCAAGAACTAGTAATAAGTAATAATTTGTAGTTTTACAGAAAATGCTAAATTAATACGTTTGAATAAAGTAGTGAAAATACATTTTTTGATAAAGATTATAAAACACATTTTACCGTTCCTGTAGCCTAGCAATACCAAATTTACCACACGACACGCCACACCGTCAAATGTCAATACAATTTTATTGGATAATATAAGATATTATTAACTAGCCACGGGATAATACGTCCACTTCACACCCGTTTTCTGCGAGGTACCTGCTAGATCAGAAACTACTGCGTAGTCCAAGTGTTACCACAAAATATTGGTTAAAATATTGTGAATGTGTTACAGCCATTTAATATATCAGTCGTGAGTATCTCCGGCAAAAAGCCGGCCAAGTGCGAGTCAGACTTGCGCATGAAGGATTCCGTACCCTATCTATTAAAACGGCAAAAAAAATATGTCTGTAGTATGGGAGCCCCGCTTAAATATGTTTTATTCTGTTTTATAGTATTTGTTGTTATAGCGGCAACAGAAATACATTATCTGTGAAAATTTCAACTGTCTAGCACGTTTTATAAGACACAGCCTGGTTGACAGACAGACAGACAGACAGCGGAGTCTTAGTTATAGGGTCCCGTTTTACCCTTTAGGTACGGAACCCTGACAAGGCCATTATGCGGTTGTATTAGTTTTACTTGTCGAAGGTACATACAAGCTATGAGGAATATCGATTTCATACTGTATTAAAATGTTATTTAATGATGGTCATTTTATGTTTTCTTTACAATCCCTTTTTTTTCTTTCTTATTTCGTTATCATTCTCTTTTATTATCCTCAAGATAATATATTACAGTTAAATTATATACAGTATACATACATTTTACGATTAAGGTTTTATGTAAATAAAAACAGATTTAATTATTTTATATAAATTAATATCATTTAAAGATTTAATTAAATACAAATTTAGATTTACTGGAAGACAGCAATTAGGTACTTCCTTTTTCAATTTGGTTTGCGAAGGCAACCCTTAAATTTAATTTATTTTATTGATTTGTATTGAAGTTTTTTCTATCTTTTTATATTACTATGGGTAATAACCAAATAGACAGGAATTATTGTATAGGTAAAAGTTAAAATAAATGGAAACATCAATGTCAAAGAAAAAATTTTAAGAAAATCGTTCCGAGGTCATTCTTTTTATGGCGTTGCTAAAGTCACGCACGCCGGCTTAACGACTTCTAGATATCATTGATCTCCCGTAAGAAGTATATAGGATAATAAAACAATCTTTTAATTTTATATTACGAAATCGATATATTTATTTCAAGTCTATAATGCTCATAAATGAAATGATATGAAAAGAATCAATATAAATTTATTTAAATCGTTACTTATTTAAATATTAAAAGTTAATATGAACATTGAAAATAGATTATATAAAGATTGTTTTACTACAATTTGTTGGAAGTTGAAAAAAATGGTCTATGCAATAATTATCAAATTCAAAGTTTCTTGGATTCTTATTTCAACTGATTGTCAATTTCAAGAACGAAATATGTTTTGTGTTTATGAAATTATAATTTTAGTCATAGTAAAAAACAATATCGTTTAGCTAGGCCTAAGTCTATTTATAATGAGCAGTAAATGATTTAATATCGACCTAGATATAAAGCTGAGGCTAATAATTTTATTTGGTCCAAAGATGACACAAAGTCAATTAATATATACCAGTCAACTTTATTAATTAAAATAGAATAAATTACATTTTAGCAACAATTGCAATTTGAGGAAACAATCAATTATGGATAAAGATACGTTTCTTGTAAATCTGTGATTATTTGGCTGTTTGAGTTTCAATTTAACTTATAATAACTTTTGTAACTTTCCGAATTTGGCCACTGATAAATTACCTGTAATCCGATATTTTCAGTTTTATTTAAAATCCTTTTGGAAAATGTAGGCCTTTTATAAAGAAAAAGTTAACGAGGTTTTATGAATTACAATTGTTTACTGTACATTGTGAACATGACACAGTGTGACCATTTTTTACAAATCTTTTCTTGCATTTACATTTCTTTCATACACTGTGTACATAAAGTATAAAATAATATTTTTAAAATAAGGAAACATATTTTCTAAATTTTATAGTGCACATTGATTGAAAAAATGGTAAATGATTGTATGGTAAGATTGTATGCTTCATTTTACACAGTAACATTAAAAAATTCATGCCCCAAAACAATTAT